ATTCAGAGATGATTTGAGGACCTACAGCCGAGTGGTACACAAATAAGCTGCATTTTTGTTAATAGTTAAGGTACTTGAATGGATTTTTCAGATTTTATTCCTGAGATTAGTGTCACTTTAAGTTGGAGCCTCTGTATACGGCACTCCCAAATCTCAGGGTTCCCAGGGCACAAATTATTTCAGTATTACTCAGGGCACTTGCAGGCTCTTCACAGTGCCAGTATTTTTGGTGTACTTTTAGTTAGTTATTATTGTTTTACTTGGCAGGTTCCCTTTAAACTCACTGTTAGCCAACACACAGTGGTCATACTGCACACTGCTCTCTCCCCTCTTCTAACATACAGCAGAACATAATTTAACACAAGTATCGGCACACTTTTATTTCCCGTTTATTGACAGAGGGAGACTATAATAGGCTGCTATGTGCATGTTAAATGTTGTATGGCTACAAGACAATCCAGATGGTGGTATAGAAGCCATGCAGCTGTTCCGCTTGTAGTATTAATTGCATCTAACACATCTCATGACTAATCTGTTTGTACAACACTCAGCTCCCACCTACAAAGAATTTTCATTAATTGCAGATGGGGAATAGGAGCTTGTGGTTTCCATGAACTCAGATTAATCATTTATTATTCATATTGCATGCATGTACTTTTCAGGGAGTTTTACTTTGTAGGTGGCAGACCATGATTGGTCAGAGGCCATGTACAATAAAGTTATACGAGGTAATATATTTTGATTCGGTAGAAGTATAAAGATCCTGTAATTGTTATCGTTCTAGACCTTAATATGTAAATAGTTTGGTAAAAACCAATATGGAAAGCCAGCTACAGATAGATATATTTTAAAGCATCCAAAAATAATAAAAACTATTAGCCCATTAATAGGTAAAATAAAGAAGTAGCTTTTACTGCAATGCGCACCTTCAATTTGGAGCTGCCACCCCCTCCCTCGCAGTACTTGTGCTTCTTTTGAAATGTCCTTAGTCTTCTGGGTTAAATGACAGCCAGCATCATTTTATTTTTATTTATTCTTGTTATTTGTATGGGGGTAGCCAATAAAATTTGTGCCTGGACTTCTTTAATGATTGCAAAGCTGCTTAAATGTACGTTTTTAATATCTGCCTCTAAGGTTAGGAATATTTTTGGCTTAAATTTGGTCACTAGTAATCACAGCAGCTCAAACTTTCATACATTTTTAATTAGAAACAATTTTGTGTTCATTATTACTAAAAATGATTAGAGACAGTAGTAAGAATATATGCATCTAGAATTAGGTACAGTGTAAAAAAATTATTATTTGATCCCCTGCAGATTTTGTAAGTTTGCCCACTTACAAAGAAATGAAAGGTCTATAATTTTTATCATAGGTGTATTTTAAATGATAGAGACGGATTATCAACCCAAAATCCAGATTATCAACCAAAAATCCATTTGTTGGAATTATGCCTATTAATACTAACTGTGGGGCTGCAGTGTGGTGTACAGACAGTACACCAGCTGCTGGAAGGGGCTAGCCTTTGCAGCAATTACATTTGAATTACAGTTCATTTGATTTTTAATAGTTAATGGGGCCAAATCGATGATCAATTTTGGCCGCAGTGATGAAACAGACTGAAGGAGCAGGATGGAAATTTTTTCTCGATTGAACAAAGTTCTAACAATTAATGTGGTTTTCATTCGGGACGCTCCATTCATTCCGAAACAGAACATTAAAAACAAATTAAATTTATAATGACATTCTTCAAGTCTCTGTTGGCATTATCAAATGTTTTGATGGGATTTTTTTTTTCAAGTCAGAGTTTACTGAAGATAGTAGAGATATTACAGGTATATGATTACACCTCTGCTAATAACATGTAATAAATTTAAGAATGTAATAAACTGATTTTTCATATAAACATTTGTACGAAAATCTACCAGTGTATGGGCAGATTTAGTAGGCATTATGTTTTATCTATAAATATTCCAGTAGGTATTGAGTCTAATGAAAATAAACCTGCTGAAAAAGTAGGGTCACTTTTACAGTTTAATTACCATTTTTTTATTTGAATTAACATTTACCACTAAGGTATCTTTTTGCAGGCTCACTGATGTACTAGACGTAATGTGCAGGTAATCGGATGGAATGCGCTTTTACTGAGTCAATACTCAGATACTGGATGGGCAAGCTGGAATATTTGATTGCACCAGGCCGTATCACTCTGTGTATGTGCTTTCTGTGCAAACTTTTCTAATGCTCCCTACATAACCTTGACATTCAGCAGGAGTCTTGACAGTCTGGACTGTACAGAACTGACCATTGAAAGGGTAGGTCCCCCTTATTGTGCAGCACACAGACTTGTCTGCTTTATTGCCTGCTGCAGTAGGAATCTACAGGGTTAACTTTAACATCATCATTAGAGTCTGAACCGAGTCATATTTCCTCATTCTCTACTCCACTTTAATACACGTTATTACATTTCCCTGTCATTTCCACAAACTCCACAGCCAGTCGCAATTTTTAATAGCACCCCCCACTCCTAGGCATGACATGTTCTCAGCGATTTGGGGGAGTCTGTCATATAGATAAATCAGAGAAGATAAAAATAAGTTTTCTCCTGTCTTGCTGCAAGCAATGCCTTTATCGGTCTTAACAAGACGGGCAATTTACGCAAAAACACAGCAATTCCCAATTTTCCTAAACCAGCCGCCTGAGTGGTGGGTCCATTTATGAAAGGGTATCTGGACATTCAACTGTAATTGTTCTAATCAAAATGTCAAAATGTAGTCCAAAGTCTGCATCACGAACACTTATTAGGCATACACGCAAAATGCCTTAAGTCTCTCTGCTCTACTCCAAAATTGTTGCTTATTTAAGTCAGAATTTATGAGGCTTTCTTGCTGAGGTTTAGGTCATCACGTTCAGATATATCAAAAGAAATATAAGCCAGACTATTTGTGACTTGAATTTGTCCGGGAGCCTGGCGAAATGTGGGGAGCTTGGAAGTTGTGAACAAGTCTGCGAGCAGAGAGACCTTAAAGTCTAGCAAGAGGGGAGTTTTCTTCCTCCTCTCCTGTGCTGGGGTATTAATTAACTCAACAGTTTCCAGAGTTTTGTACAGCCGGGCTTTTTGGTACATGAGAATGCCTATATGGGGAAGCACGAGTGGTAAATTTTTTGTTAGGGTGACAAAGTGAGTATGATGTACGCATAGCAGAGTTTTAACACTTGAATATTTCCAGTTTTCAGCCTTGCTTTGAGTCTTTAGTTCTTCAGCTATAAAAGAAAGTATAAAATCCAATAAAAAAAGCATTAAGCCAATCCAGGCTTATATGTGATGCTTACTAAGGCCCCTTTCACACGGTAGTTCCATCAGTCCATTTTTGACCCGTCATTACTCAGATCAAATACAGCCTACTGTTAGGAGCATGTCAAATGCTCCTATCCCTGTCGCAACTACTCAGCTCCATCTGGTGGTTGCCTCTTGTAACTGCACCTACCACAGTCCAGTCAGCTGCAGGCTGATCAGGCTAATCAGCCTGGCTACACTCCACTTACAACCAGGGCATTGGTTAGTTGTGCTCTATTTAAGCATCAAAGCCCAGAGCTCTGGGCTTGTGATAGCTCCAGCCTTGTCTTGTCTTGTTCTGTCGACACAAGCCTTGATCTTGTAACCTAGTCTTGCCTTGGCTCTTTAATCCTAAACCTGTCTTGTTTCCTGTATCCTGTATTTATCTTGTATTAGTTCCTGTCTTGTATTTGTTTCCTGTTCTTGTCTTGCTTTCTGTTTGTCTTGTATCTTGACATCAGTCAGTACTTCTCCTTGTTCCTGGGGGCCAGCCTGTGGCATCACCTGATCAGAGCAAATACTTTAAGTTATGAGGACATCCAAGTACCGGTAGGCGCGCTTGCCTTATGGGAACGGCGGCTAATGGTGAAACAACTCGTCGCTATTGGCTCTGACAGCGTGCGTTCACAGCTGGTCCTGACAACTACAATACATCCCTTTGGGCGACTGGATGTAAGTGGATGTGCGGCTGCTATATCTGCCAAATCCAGGTCTGTGACGGGGACACTGGTAAGTTTAAACCTGTTTGGTAACTTTTTTTAAAAAATGTTTTTGCATATATATACTACTTGCTAGCAGTACATATATGCAAAAATCTGCAAGGGTTTAAATACCCTTTAACAAGAAAATATGAAGAAAATCAGTGGGGCACACAGAAGAGGCTTTTCTGGTTAACAAGGGTCAAGGGCATTTTGTGGTTTGCTCCTAGCCAGGAGCACCAGTTGACAGGTTTGCATTTAAAGCTGAACTTCAGGCACAAAAACTTATATTGAAATTAATTCCTCAATAGCCAAAAAAAGCTATAAACCTTTGCAAACCCATATTCTACAACATAAGTAGCAGTGACATCATCACTATGTTGTACATACATAGCCTGATTAGAGAGCATAGCTGAGGGAGGGATCTAGAAGGCTCCACCCACTATAGGCGGCCTGCAGAAAACTACAGCATGGGAGGATACAAGACTAGCCATCACCAGTCACCAGAGAGCAGCAATGAGCGGTCTTTATTTCAGGAAGCTCCTGAACAGAGACAAAATTTCACAATGGATTGCTGCAAGATCTGGAAGAATTACACAAAACTCGCTGAGTTTCAATTAAGAATACACATGACTCTATATAGGCAATATTAGCTTATCCGGGTGTTCAACTTTAAGGGTTTCCATATTCTAAATGGTAAGAAGACTTGATGATGATCTCATTTGACAATGTCCCAATATTATATTATATTATATTTATGCTTCAACAGCTGCAAACTGCTTTACACCAACTAACAATCTTTGTCGGAAAAGAGATCCTGCTTCATAAACTGCTGCTGGACATTATTTCTGAACTCAAGGAGATTCTCCACCTTTTCTTGCTTGAAATAAAAACCAAATTTATTTAGCTTCCTTAAAACATATAGAAACACATTAGTTGTTCTTTTCTGCATGTTCTTTAATACTCACTTCATACAAGAGGCAGCCCAAGGACCAAATATCTGACTTGAAATTGTAGCCATTTTCATGTATTCTCTCTGGGGACATGTAATAAGGTGTTCCCACTGCAACACAGAAAAGATCATTAAACGCACAATGTTGTATGCTATTGTATTTGGCTTTGCGGTGTAACATTTTCAACATCACTTCATCATACTTTTTTTCCAACAATATACATGGCCTTTAAATACCCAGAGAAGAACAGCCATGTAATCTACTTTGGAGATCACTGAAGTAAGCATTGTTATAGACCGGGCTTATTTCAGTAGTGTAGAAATGAAAAAAGGCATTATGGAAAAGGAAGTGGTATGAAGCTGGTGCAATGCCACCCTGCGTAAAACGTACTATTCTTACACAGAGAACAATGCTTTGAAGTTTTACCTTGTGTTAGATCTTATGCTCAATGGACTGAAAATCTTGAAGAAGAATTCAGAAAACGCACAAAGTTTTGAACACTATAAAAATAAATAATGTTACCTTTATATTAAGGTAATCAACGCTCCTCATCAACAGAATAAGTGAGGGTAATATTAAAGATAGGAGGATATTTTTTCTATAGTACATGAAAAAAGGAATCAAATCCCAGGTTCACCTTTTATATGTTTCTTACATGTGACAAATTTCCAGTGTGGTCTTTATTTTCTCAGTTATTTTACCTATCTTTTCCTCTTATAATGATTGCTATCTTTTTCCTATCCTCCATGATCTATGATAAAAAATATCCCTATGTATACTGGAACACGCTAAGGGCTCATTTATATTGGTGAAGAACGAACCGACCAACGTTCAATGAACAATTAAAAGTTTATCAAAACCCTGAGAACAGTTCCTTTGTAGTGTATGTGGTCTTTTTCAAGTCTAGTTTGTAAGCTTTGGAGAAAAAAATGCATCGGTAGCATCGGTAGCTGGGCACTATGGCGGTGGAGGGACATGTACCAAAAAAATAGCATTTAGTAGAGAACAACTCTTTTTAAAAGCCGTAAGGAGCAACATTAAAAATATGCAAGAATAATTCCTTTAAATAATATGCCCGGGGAATGCAATAACCCTTCATGTGAAGTGAAACACCTGTATGATGTAATAAAGCAAAAGTGAGATTTAGAAAAAAAAGAAAAAATACCTTTAAATTGCTGCTAAATGACATTGCCCAGTCACTTCTTAATGTTTGTAATGTTTGTAAAATGGTGGCCAGCATTTCCTTTCAACATCCATACAAGACTCATATTCTAGATGATGGGCTGGTATAGATGTTAAGGGGAGACTCAAAAAGAAACAAAAACACACATGGTGTGCCCTAAAAATCCACACCAGGCCCTTATCCTTGATGAGGGTCTAGAACTGCAAACATGTAAAATTTGGGCCAACCTCTATATGGCTGTATACTAATCCCTGGTTTACACCAATGCACAGTACAAGCATGCATTACCACATTAGCACATTCATGGTAGTGCACAGAGTAGGGTGCAATGTGCAGTGCCATGCATTTTGAATGGTTCCCCAATGTATCATCTAATAAATTGTAAAAAAACAACCACTATATGGTATAGTTAACTATACAAGTTCCTTTAACTTGGTCTATAACTTAAAACATTTTGAGCAAAAATACCATCGTAATAAGAGAAGAGATAAGCTAGTTAAATAAGTTATTATTCAACCAATTTCATTGATGGCTTATTTTATTATTAAAAATATAAAAAAAGTTTATATATGTAAACATGATCACAGCACAATCACTAAAAACCCCATCATAAAAATTGTAACATTGTCAGTCACATCATACATAAAATCATCAGAACAGCCCACAACCATTCCTCACATTCTCACTTAATAAGCTCATTGCCATCACCTGGGGAGTACTCCCTGCCGGCCCGGATTCCCTACAAGGACCGTGCCGAGAGGTACGTTGCCTTCTACATTTAGTCCTGCTTTGGGAAGGCAGGACTAAATGTAGTGTGGGGAAGCAGCTTGTTCGTTTACAAGTGATCACTTGTGAAATGTGTGCAGCCTGTCTGTCCTCCCCTCCTCCCCGCACCTACCTCTCTCCTCTGGTTCCGGGGGCGCATTGCAGAACCTGGCCTTGGGGCAGCAGGGAGAGTAAATACGGCCCTGACTGTATATAAAACATGTTGTTACAATTCATGGAACGTTGTCGACTTTAACACTGAGATTTACTTGGATGGATGAAACCCATTCACAGTATATAAAGGTTGTAAATACAACAGGGCAGAAAACAGATGAAAAGAACAGTTCCTTCGTCGATGCTGTTTTGCTAACAGATGCTATTTAAATATAGCAATCTCACACCTTTCTTCTTTTACATTCAGCAATTGCAACATTTGCAGCAGCTGCTAGATATGAGCATGTCCTTTGACAATAGATTGAAACAATGTTGCATATATGGGAAAGTTTTCGCCAGATAATATCAACAGGCTTGGTATATAGCATGGCTACTTTTTGATTAGTAGGGTAATTCACTCGGGTAATTCAAGTCGGGCTGATCTGGAGACTGCGTGTACGCATTTCGTCCCGCCTCCCTCGGGGCTTCGTCAGAACGTACATTCCTCAATGTATCTCCTGAGTGCAGCTGCATTAACGTGCACAACAACACACTACAACGCATGATATGGATTCCAGTGCAGTGTGTCACAAAAATGTAACGGGAGAGTTTTTTTTCCCTATGTTGGGTGCCCATACAAAATGAAAAGGCTGCAATAACACAGCATGTCGCAAGTAGGTGGGTTCTTACTGATTATCTCTACCAATCGCACACAGTGCAGCCCACAGTTTCCTCAAGAAAGAAGGAGTGCATGCGGAAAGCCTAAACATTATGTTTAATGTTTAGCCCCATCAACATGACACTAGCACCAGAGAATACTTGTGGTTATAGAATGACAGTATTTGAAGTAATTGTAAAAGTAGCTAAATAAAATTTGATGCACATATACAGGCTTATTCACAAAAGGGTGAAGAGTTTGCAGAAGGCAGGAGAAGTGAACAATCTAGGACAACATAACAGAACTGGAAAGTGAGCTGAATTGGAGAATTTTTCCAGATCAGCTATGTTGTCCTAGATTGTTCACTTCTCCTGCCTTCTCCAAGCTCTTGACCCTTTTGTGAATAACCCTGATAATGTTTACACACTTTTCTCAGATGTGAGCAGCTTCCACCTTCGTGACAAATTTGATAAGAAAGACAAAGTAAAGCTGGCCACATACATGACAATGTTTTAAGTACATCTAAACCACTTTCCATCCACCGGGTATTGTCAATACAATTGCAATAAATCCGCAGAAACTAAGAGGTTTAGCACCCTTGAGTTTCAGCAACCACCAGAATTCGGTCGATTGTGAAACTTGCTAATAAATTTACAGCTTAAATACAATTTTTTAAGATCCAATAGAAAAAAAGAAAAAACGATGGTAATGTCTTCTAAAGCTGTTGGGAATTTTCTGGCTTGGGGCAATTTTAAACCAATCTTCTCGCAGTTTTTTAAAACCACCATTTTAGGTGTTTGGTTGCTTTGTAATATTGAAAAATGAAATCGAAAGTTTGATAGTTCCACCAAAATTCCACCTGTATGGTCAGGCTAACAGTAAACTTTGTAAAAAAGAAAAAGAATTCTTAACAGTTTCTTTTTGGTTGGCTCACACAGGCTTTGTAAATATCTGCTTTGCCCACTGGATCATGTAAAGTCCTTACAGTTGTGTAACCAATGTTCTTGTGTTTCATCCAGTCTTGGAAATTCTGGTTATGCTTGAATAATCCTAAAATTTATAGCAAGGGTAACATCTGTATCCTTCCCTGAATCTGTCAATTGTCTTCTGAAGGTCAATAAACTGGACTTATTTGTGTCAAAATTCCAATTTAATAAAGGAGCACATCACTAAACACACTCAAAATTACCACCTTACATATCCCTATTATAATTTCTGAAAGCGTAAAGGCTTTTCTGTGAAAAAAACTCTGCTTACATTGTTCCAATTGTAACATGGTGACTACAAAATATGCAATGCCTGTTTACCATTTCAAGGAAAATGTGTTATTTGGTTGTGTCTAGTGCTTTTAAGAGAAGCAGTCAAGCTCCATCTGAATATTTAGGCTCAAATTATTTTGTGCAGGTCTACCTATGAAAGATTTAGATTTGTCACCTTTTATACCTTAACAAATTGGTATCTGCAATCTGTAGGTCAAGGTTCTCAGACACAGCTCCCTGTACTATTGGAAAATGTATGTAAGTTGCAGCTTTGAACTAAGAGCGGCTGACAGCTGCAGGTTGACCATGACTGGCCATGCACACTTTGTTCTGGTTAAACCCACAGCGTTCTGAATCCCCGAACAGCGACTTCATCTGATAGGACTCATTCACTGTTTGGCCAATAATTTTCCACCTGGCACAGTTGATTTTAAAATCATGTTTTCTCGAGCAAGGTGGTGCTAACGGGGCCACCCACAGTTAAAATTCCTGTTGAATTAGCTGAAGTTTGAGTTGTGAATGGCTAGAATAAAGGCTAAGTTTACCTTTCTGACCATGTTTCGTAATATATATCCATATTTATGATGTTCCTGAAAAACCTGGTCAGATCTCAAGAGCAGTGAGGTCACTTGCAGTCCATTGACACTTTATTGCATCAATGGTACTTAATGTTCGTACCTCAGTATGGTCATGGATGAGAGGAAGAGATTTATTTAATAAAGAAGTGTAATTTTTTTTAAAAAGGGGGTAATTTATCTTTAAGGGCTGGGAACCAATCAATGTAATTACTGGAAATGTCTTTGCAAACAAACATTTTCAGCCTGCAGATGGCACTGTGCCTCTCTCTTGGTGTACAGAGAAAGAGAGGCAGTGTTGGAAAAACTTACAATGTAAATCTGGTGGTTAGTGGTCACGTGAAGCCTCACAATAGCTGCTCTGCTTGCTGCCTAGCCCCAGGCTGATAGCATACACTGTCTCCTGAGTGTGCATAACCGTGTCAGACAGCCAAGCTCTGTAACTAACAAGAGTGTAAATGACTACAGAGCTCTGTATTTGATATTGTTATGATTACTTAATAGCTGCAACATGCAC